CTTAGACCTTTTGTTCAACCTAAGTTCAAAGTCAACTGTAACTGTGGTCTGGATCTGATATCAATTCTTATCCTATATTTAGTACAGATAATCCTCAACTTACAATAGTTCATTTAATGACTATTTAAACTTACGGCACTGAAAAAAGTGACTTATGACCATTTTTCACACTTACGACCATTACAGCATCCCTTTGGTCACATGATTTACATTTGGATGTTTGAATACTGACTCACACTTATGACGGTTGCAGCATCCCAGTCATGTGATCACCTTTTATAACCTTCTGACCAGCAAAGTCAATGGGGAAACCAGATTCACTTAACAACCATATTACTAATTTAACAAATGCAGTGATTCACTTAACAAATGTGGCGAGAAAATTTGTAAAATGGAGCAAACTCACTTAACAAACTTCTCAGCAACATAAACTTTGGGCTCCAATTGTGGTCGTTAAGTTGAGGACTACCTGTAATGGCTTCCATGTTTCTTAAACTTTCCAAGAATTTTTACGAATAGATTTTCCTGTCTTTACCTTTATTCTAAATAACTTCATTTTGGCAGTTGTTTAATATCATAAATGAAAACTCTCCTGAACTGTGCTGACTCAGCAAGAACCTTCCTTTGCTGTTCTTAGCATTTCTATTGAGGATTGTACTTCGTTTGGCTTGATTGCTTCTCTAACTATTCACCATTATTAAACTCCTTTTCATTTTGGTTATTTGTGTGCTTTCTGTCAGACTAAATTAGCTACATACATATAAATAAAAGCTCATTCTTATTTTAAAAATAAAATGTTTTTACTAATAAACAACATTCTTCATAGGTGCTCTTTCTTACATTATTTTATTTTTAGAAACAGAGAGTAAAAGGACTTACAATCTCCTGTTGGCAGTCTTTTGTACAGAAACAGATAACTCACTTCCTGGTCTTTGGGTAAAATCCAAGGTAGAAGATTGATCTTTCCCCCATCTTGTTCTTGGTTCCAAAAACCATAAAGAAAAACCTACCACTATCCATCATCTTTGCTGTTTCCATCCCAAGCAGCCACAGACCAAAACAATTCAATACAAATCAGCTAAGCCAGTATTTGGATATGAACAAGGCAAAAATGCTTCATATCTAACATGGGAATCCTCACTGTATGTTTTGAGGTTCCTTGAATGAGCCATGCCTATTCCTAAATTCATACAATACTTATGCAGATTTCCAACAATACATATTTAAGAATGTTTATTGGAGATTCTCCATCATCCTGGTCGTGGTTATCCCAAAGGTGCTTTTCAAAAGGCAACTGGACTTTTATTTTTCTTTTAAAAACATTTGCTCCTCATCCAAGAAGCTTCCTGAGTTCTGACTGAATGATGAAAAAGAGAAGGATTTATAGTCTTTCCAGTCATCTGGTTGCTAGCACTCTGAGAGTTGTTGTGGCCACTTGGGAATTTATCTGTACCCTCAAGTTCATCTGAATCAGAGTGCAGATGGGTGTGGAACCTTCTTGAGACTGCTGAAAGGACTGTGTTGTAGGCAGGAGATAGGTGGTATCATATGCCTCCTTCTCTGTTGAATTTTAACATAGATGGCTTTTTTAACTCCTCTTTCAAACCAGTGGTCCTCTCTGTCCAGAATGTGGAAAAAAAATTACCTTTGTTTTTCAGCTGCAGATGGACTGCTGAATTTTGTCCCGATGGGTTTGTTCTCCTATGTTGTGTGATGCATTTGTGAAGTCGTTGTTTGGTTTCCCCAGTGTAGATGAAGTAGTTGTTTTGTTTTCTCAATGTAAATGTGTAGATCTACACTGCAGATCTCTACATTTGGGATCAGAATAGCAGATTGTTTTATTTCATCCTGGACTCTAACATATACATTGTTAGCAGAACTGCTAAGTTTATAGCTAATGTGAGAAACCATTATATTGAACAGATCAGGTTATCATATAAAGGCAATGTATTTATATGAATGTTGATTCTTTGTGTTTAGCATGTATTTATTTTATTACTGCATTTTCTTTTACCTCTTTTATCCTGGAAATAGATCTTGTATTTTACCTTTATTTTTTTAATATGGTCATAAGGCTAATCAACCAATAAACTATATATTTCTATTTAATTTTAAAATATTGCACAGAATTTAAGCATGACTTTATAATTTGATTCTATTTTGAGAACTCTGGAACTACCTGTGTCTCTTATATAATTAAAAACCTCTTCTTTATCAACATAAATCCTTGCCTGGAAAATCTAAGGCAAAGATCTTGCACTCAGTGATATATAAGACCAATTTAATTCTATAGTACTAGAAGGAGAAATATCTTTCAGCAAAGTACTTTATTTCTAATACAGACAAGATACTATAAATGTTGTGAAAGCTACATCCTCCAGGTTTCCTCAAGGCAGTTAGAGGCCTCTTGTGTCCTATTTCTTGGAGACTGACATGGAGATCCTAAAGGCTTTCTAAACACTCAGTGCATTTTTTTTTGTTATTGTAAAGAAACTGTCAAATGAGGGGAAAGCCTTACCGTTGAATTCTGAGCACAGGAATGAGAGAGGCAATTTGCAAAATACTGCAGGGCCATAACACTTATATTTATTTTCTTTATCAGATAAACATTTTTTGCCCTGATGCAGATTGCTTAAGAGAAAAGGAAGTCTTCTTTGAATTAATGTGAAAGCACCAGTAGTTTTTGAAGCACTCAACGTATAGGCCAGTGGTTCTCAACCTTTCTAATGCCGCGACCCCATAATACAGTTCCCCATGTTGTGGTGACCCCCAACCACTTATACATCACCAGGTGCCAGGGGCATGGCCAAAGAAAAGGGGAAAAAATGGCAGACAGCCTTGTTTGGCGACCCCCATGAAATGGTCGTTCGACCCCAAATGGGGTCCCGACCCACAGGTTGAGAACCACTGGTATAGGCAGAAACTGCTTAAATCAAAGGATTCTTCCTGATTACATTTAACTGATCTGATGAAGCCAGAAATCTAGATAAAGATTGTCCTCTTCACCACCATCACTTCTGTTACCTAATAATTAATCTTGGATACTTAATGGACGTGATGGTCATCCAAACTAGGAGACAAGGTTAATCTAAAATCTTATCAGATTGCTCGAGACAGACTGGACATTAAAAAAAACTTCCCTGCAAAACTGATTCATATATTTGCTTATAGGCCTTTGGTAAGGAAGAAGGAAACCGAGTCATTTTATTAGTCTTGCCATCTTTTACCTTTATTATTTATGGTTGATTTTATTGTGATTTCTTTGTTTGATTGTTGTAAGCCACTTATAGTTGTTGTGAGTCAGGCAGCAAACAAATTTAAATAATAATAATAATAATAATGGTAGTAAAATATATATTAAAAGAGCAGGCAACATCCAAAACTCTTTTTTAAAAATCTTGCATGAAATTACCTTGCAGTGATTGGACATTCCTTATCAGCTAAGTTCTGGATATCAGTAGGACTCCTCTGGTTAAGTAACTCCTTACAAAGTGTTTGTTTTTTTTAAAAGAAAAAGAAAAACTTATTATTTACCGAGTTCTTTTAATATTGTATAGTGAAAGTCAGAGAATACAGCAACAATGAATCAGCATTGCTATATGAAGTAGGTGAATGGGGAGTGTAGCAACTGACAAGCTGTCACAGTAAACAAAATTTAATTCTAGTACAGGGTGTTTGACCTGTATAGCCTATACAAGTAGGCCTAAACTTGTGATCACAATTGAGCCCAAAATTTGTGTTGTTAAGTAGACTTCTGCCCCATTTTACAATCTTTCTTGCCACCGTTAAGTGAATCATTGCAGCTGTGAAGTTAGTAACATGGTTAAGTGAACCTGGCTTCCCCACTGCTTATCAGAAGATCACAAAAGGCTATCACATGACCCTAGGACACTACAACCGTCATATGAGCCAGTTGTCAAGTATCTGAATTTTGAGCATGTGACCATGGGGATACTGTAATGATTATATGAAAAACAGTCATAAGTCACATTTTTCAGGGCTGTTGTAACTTTGGTCACTAAATGAACTGTTGTAAGTTGAGGACTGCCTGTACTTAAGTATTTTACCCCCCAAAGGATGCTTTACACAGAAATGACAAAGCGTATTTACTTATACAGGTAGTCGACGTACAACAGTTTCTTTAGTAACCGTTCAAAGTTACAATCTGAAAAAAGTGACTTATGACCATTTTCACACTTACAACCATTGCAGCATCCTCATGGTCACATGATCAAAATTTGGACTTGACAACTGACTCATGACAGATTGAAGTGCCCTGGGGTCATGTGATCACCGCTTGCAATCTTCTCACAAGCAAAGTCCATAGAGAAACCACATTCACTTAAGAACCAGGTCACCAACTTAATAACTGTAGTGATTCACTTAACGTGGCAAGAAAGGTCATAAAAATGCACTTAACAAACGTCTCACTTAGCAACCAAAACGTTGGGCTCGATTGTGGTCCTAAGTCGAGGATCACCTTTATTTAATATAACAAATTTGGAGACTGCCCATTTTGCTCCATGAGCCATTCTTTAGCTTTTGGGAAGCTATTTCAAAGTAACTCCTACGACCTGGGGACAATAGAGGCGGGAAGGATGACCGATGCTGAACTCCAAGCCATCTGGGAAGGAACCAGGAGGCGAAAAACTGCCGCAGACAGAAAGAAAAGGGCTCCCTTCGGAGGAGCAGAGACCGAGTGCACAGGCGCGGGAACAGCATGGCATGCCTGCCTGCCCTCCGCGACGCACCTCCGGTGGAAGGGCAGGTCTAGGCTGGCACCTCGGGCAGCAAGACAGACTACCACCACCCACAGTGAGGCAGCTGAACTGAGAACCCAGACATCCAGACACGCGCCCTGCTCGGCAGCCGAAGCCTTTCTGCAGCTGGTGCTGCTCCTCCTCCTGCTGGGAAAAGCGGGGTTTCCCCGCCCCGGCCAGCCCTTCGGGAGGCAGCGGCTCCGCTTTGTCATGCGCAGCTGCGCCGGCGGAGCCCCTCCTGTCCGTCGGAGGAGAGCGCTCCTGAGACGGGCAAGGAGAGGAAGCCGAAGAAGCCGGCGGGGGGAGCGGCAGTAGCGGCAACGGCGGACAGCTCATGGCTCCCGGAGCGGCAGGAGGCTGAGGCTGAGGGGGAGGAGGAGGAGGAGGAGGAGGAGGAAGGCGGGGCGCGCGCGCGGCGGCGGCGGGAGGGGGCTCTTCCCCGGCCAGGCGACGGCGAGGCCCTCCCGCTGCGGGGCTCGCGACACAACTCCGGCTGGTCTCCTCCTCCTCCTCCTCCTCCTCCTCTTCTTCCCCCCTCCCCCGCGCGGCAGTGTTATGGCCTCTTGCTGGGGCGCAGAAGGGTCCCTTGCTTGGAGGTCAGCGCAACTCCTGCTCCTCGTCGCCTCCTGTTGCGGTAGGTGATGTCCTTTGTGTCCGCCCGGGAAGCCGGCCTGCTGGGCTGTCGTTGAAGGAAGCGCCGCTTCTCTTTCGGCAACCCCCCCCCCTCCACTCCAAGCCGGCGGGACGAGACTTCCTAGCCCGGCTTTTGTTTCCGAGGAAGTCTGCCCTGCCTCTCGTGCACCGCTCTCCCCGTGTTGCCTGGGCATAGGAGTCGCGGGCCGTCCCTGACTTTCCCAGGAACGATGGTTTGCGCTGCGAATGAGTCAAAGCCTTCTTGGGTTAAAGCAGGGCCTGGCCGCGCTGGAAGACTTCCCTTCTTCTCCCTCTTGAAATGGGGGGATCCGGCTGTCTGAGATGCAAGCCATCCATTGTTAGTGCTAAGACAATGGGAGGACCCCTTAAACTTCGGGGGGTCTTGGTGCTCCCCCCTAGACCTCTGTTTTCTGAGCTGATTTTCGTTATCCATAAGCGCTTTCATCCCATTTCTGTCAGCAGTTACAATGCAGTACCAGAACTGTCTCTCTGGTGCCCGTTAAGTTCAATGGAAGTTAAATCTAGAAGTATATCTAGGGCACCAGCCTTTGCAGCCTATTTTAAGATCATTATATATAATTCCTTCTCTGAGTGGCCGAATTTCCTCAGATTTTTATATTCTGCGTGGGTGGGGTGGGGGTGCTAAATGTCAAATCATTTGTTTGCATCCTTAATAGAATAGCTGTTTTTAGTTTAGAAAATTGCCTGGGAGGTGTATAAATGATCTCTAAAATATCTGGTTCTACATCTTAACTTGGTTCTGAAATAGGTTATTGGCACCAGTTTTTGGCAGGAATAAACTTGGTGTATTTACAGGTTCTGCAACAGAAAGCTCTTTCTGAGTAAAAATTTCAGCATTGCATTTGGAAGAAAGTTGATACTATATTTTTGAGGGTGGTATCAAGGGAAGAGGCTGTTGACACAACTTTGCTAAATGTTGAATTGCAGTTTTTAAGAAACATTACAATCTAATGCAGTGGCTCCCAACATTTTCTGTACCTCACACTCCTAGAACGCTTCTGATATATTCTCGCACCCCTTGCAAAAGTTTGAAATAACGGCAACGAATTATGCATATACACTATAATTTTGAAAACCCAAGTTTCCGCAACCCCTGAAATATTTTCTCGCACTCCCAGGGGGTGCGAGCATATCCAGTTGGGAACCCCTGATCTAATAGATTGTAGCAGGTGATAGCAGTTATAGCTTGAACCATTGAAGGAATTGATTTCTGTTATTAGGAAGTCAAAAGAAATATGTTTCAAAGCATGGCCTTTCTGTCAATACTGTTTTCACCCAGTAGATCTGACATAAAAGATGAAGTGACTGAATAATTAGAAACTACTCTTATCTGAGTTTTTGGACATCCTGTTTGTTTCTCTTTATGAATAATAAATGATTTAAATCTTGGGTTTCCAGGGTGTCATTTGTGCTTTTACAGAATAGAACTGTATATTAATTGGTTGCTATAACAGTTAACGTATTAGTTTTCCATTGCATAAAATCTGTATCCTTCCAGGGAATGTAATCTAAATCCTGTGATGTTTTCTTTTGTTTTGCAACTTAATTACATCAAGATGATAAGGCAAACAACCTTGAGTGCAAGACATGGATAGAAACTGAAAATGAAGAGATATTTCCCCTTGGGTCTGTGCATCACAGTTAGCCATGGTTAGTTTTAAACATACTCTGTTGCAATAGAAGAGTTCACTTACTGTATTAAGCCAAAAGTAAACTAACCACATTATGGATTAATGTGATACATGGATTCAATCTTGTCTATCATTTTCTTGAAGCCAAAAGCCACAGACCAATACATTTAATTGATGGGTTGTGGCCAAATACATAAAATCAGCTTCCTCAAAATGGGACAAATCAGTTGCATTGAATTCAATCCTGTTAATTCCTAGGCAGTAAATTGGGGAGATCTGGCCTAGAATTTTGAGTAAGACTACTGCTTATAGAATTTAAGTATACACTAAATATAGAATTAGTGTTCTTTGATTAGTTGAAAATTTTCATGCTATCTCATTAAAGCTAAAAACACTGATATATTGAACTATACAGTAATATTCGTTATGCTTACTTTTATTTTAATGCTATAGATTTTTCATCAACATCCTTTAATGTGCTTTGAACTGTCAAAATTCTGTTTTAAAAGTCATTTATTTCATTCTCAAAGAAGGATGTTATTAATATTTTAATGTTCTTAATTTCCAATATTTCTGCTTTCAGATTATGGAGGGGTGAACTTTTTCTGTGTTCATAAATATGAAGTTTTTGTCTCCTTTAAAACGTTTTTATGCAGTATGTAAATATTTCTGTTACTGTAGTTTACCAAATGATTAAAAATAAAGGGTATATTGTATGTGGTTGGCTTTGCTCTCTGCTTCTTAGGAGTGCCAAAGTCTGGGGAAGTGGAAATAGTGGGCCTCTTGTTTACACATTTGCAAAAGATCTTATGCATTTACATGACTAAATTGGCTTAATAGTAATTACTTCTCAGAAAACACTCATGTTTATAGTAAGCTCTCTAAAAGGCAAGGCTGTAAGTATCTCTTAACCTCTTTGTTTCTATTTATCAAAAAAAAAATGAAAGCATTCTTACTGTTAAATCCAACCTTGCATATTTCTGCAAATGATTTTTTTTTCCAGCAGGGAACTTATTGTGAAACTTTGGTTTATTCTCCACAAAATAATTAATGTAATTGGCAGATCAAAAGAAATCCAACAACTGTACTATGTTGTTCAAATAATGAGTGGACCATAAATCATGTGATTAGAATGGGGGGGCAAATTGTAGTAATATTTGGGTAGAGGAACATTGTAGTCTGCTAATAATACCAACTCTCCAAACTAAGACCCAAAACATGTAAATAAATTGCCAAAGTGGGAATAATTGCATGGGACGAAATAGATTAGAAATTAGAAAAGATAGGGAAGCAACACTAGCCCAAAACACATACCAATGTTGACCAATTATAAAGATCATAATCATAATCTAGAGATCATCAATAAGTAAGTTATCAACTATTGTCTTTCTGGAAGTAGGTAATGAAAGTTTTAGGTTCTCTGCAGCATTGAATACAAGCAGTATATAATGGAATTGTTGTTGAGCTGTGATTCATTTTAACTCTGAATAAGCTAGCAGAATGACTACTGACACATCGACATGTATTTATTGTTTCACATGATCTTACCCAGAAGTTATTATTCTGATGCCTAGAACAGAAGTCTCCAACCTTTTGGGCACCAGGGACCGGTTACATGGAGAAAGGTTTTTCCGTGGACCGAAGGGGGCATGGCTTTGTGTGCTGCCTTCATCCTGGCTTTTCTTATTTGTGTGGACTGGTTGCTAGCATGCCGTGGCCCATTACTGGTCCATACACCGGAGGTTAGGGACCCTTGGTCTAGAATGTAGATAAAATTGTCCAAGATTTCCTAATTTTATACTACTAGTACATCTGATAAGTTTACAGGTCATTTTTTCTTTCAAAACCTTACTATCTAGGCTGCTTTCTGTTTTTCTTGATCCAAACATTCCTTAATACAATGAAAGCTTGTTTATGGAGTTCAACATGGTAAACTTCACAAGCAGTGAAACGTCATAAAATGATGCATGATGGCAACATTAACCATACAACATAAATTACTATGATGGTGGTCTCTCCAGTTTAACATATTGTGAATAAATAACATCCCCTCCTATAACAAAATTTAACTATAGTGTTCTTTGGTAGATATTCAATAATTTAAATCTTTGCTGGAAGTTTACATTCTATGCTTTTATTAAAAGGTTTGCTATGATTTCTTAAGATAAAGAAGTGAGATACCTCCCAGTTACCTTTATAAACCTTTTGTAATAATAATTCCAATTTATTTAATGTATTAGATAGTCTAACAATGATTAAAGCTAATTCTGAGTCACACTTATAAATGACATATGCCACTTGTCAAATATTATGGGGAAGGTGGATGGGTAGGTTGAAGAAAAGCTCAACGGCTGCTTTTGCTCCATGGCAATACTAATTATGTCATGAAGTGTGACAGAGATTGCATTAAATGCCTTTTCAAGTTGTCTTGCCTTACTGCTTTCAGTGCTGGTGTTCTGGATGCTAAACAATGGAACAGCATGATGGCACACTTCAGGCATGGCTATATGGGCCTAGTGTTCCCTTTCTTTAATGTTCTTTGTCCTCCTCTATTTCACAATACTTAATATGCACTGTACCTTTTTCAAATAATGAACTGTAAGTCTGTCATGCTTTATCAGTTCCTTTTGGCCATGAAAACCTGCTATAAAGACTATGAGCCTAGCTATAACACAGTTAACATGAAAATTATCCTCAGAAACCTCAGTAAAACTGCACGAAAGGTTATTTCTTTTAAGCAAAGCTTTCTATTTTAGATCACATTTAAGTTAGAGCTTGCATGGTTGCCTGTCATAAATAAAAGATCAAGATATAAAACTTATTGCTGTTCACAAATAGCCAGTATTTTATAATTACTCACAAAAGTAGTAAGCAACTTTGGGGACAAAGGGATACTGTACATCAATCATCTCTCAGGCCTTCAGAGTATATCTGCCAGGGCACAAATGATTATGTGCATACGAAAACATCTTTCTATATAACCATGTAAATATGAACACATATTTATACACCCTGATTTCTTTGGAGAAAAGGAATATAAAATTGCCATGTTTTTCTCTTAAAGCCTGGAAAAACAAGAGCAGCAGTATTGCTGCATGTTTGGGTTCCCCTTTTCCCCCCTCTACTACCCCTTTCTTTACTTCCCTTACTCAGTGTCCTCCTTTTTATACTTTTGTCTCCCCACCCCATTCTAGATTTTTGTTTCTTCCTCATTTAAACCCTCTTCCTATTCATTCTATGCCTCTTCATGCTTGTGGCCCTAGCTAACCAAAATTTCAACTGAAGGCACCATTTCAAGATAGCTTGCATTTTCCTAATGTATTATTCT